AACAAGGTTACGGATTCGTGGTGTGTGGTCAGGCCTATTTCACTCAACCGGCCGGAGTTCGCACTCAGCATAACATAACCAAAGCAAAATTATTGAGCGATTTTCTTTAAACAAAAGCATGTATAAAACATGATAGTTCCAGAGATTGTATGTAAACCGTTGGGGAGAATACGCGCAATAGCTGAATATGTATTGTCCTGATGAGAATACCCAGGATATGTGCTTTCAATGCATCCTGTTAAAATGTAGCCCCTACTTGATATCTTAAAATTTTCAACGAATACTCCTTCACGAAACGAGATTATCCTCCTGAAATATAGTCCTCACTAAAAAGTGAAACAAATCCTCCGTAAATAGTACTAATGGCACCGGAATTGAGCGATTTGACGCTTCATCGTCACCCGATGGTATGCTACTACATTATCATCATTATGATACACGTTAGTTAGAGGTGTAAAACACCTCAGCTACTGTGCCGCAATGCATAAAAGAAAGAAAAGGAAATAAATACAACAGTTGCACGCCAGCTGAGCTACCAGCAACGGATAGGTATTGTTCCGTAAATCTAACAGCCGGCCACTAGGCAACAAAAATTATTATGCAGAATTATCTTAGAATAAGAAGTGAGATGGTGGTTGCAGAGGTGGCTAAAAGGGATGGGGAGGGACAAATAAAAGCACGGCAGGAACGCCAATGAGGTCGGCTCTTAGTCATGTCAGCAAGTTTATCTAGTCTAACGTGTTCATAGTGTTTCGGACCCCAACCGGGAAGCCGAGAGGCTCCAACCGAGGTTAACTTCGATGTAATGGTCTTTATTACTCTCGACCATGTCATCGCTTGGGAAACCCTTCTCTTCTTCCATCTACACCCCCGGGGTGTTAACAATGCACCTCAGCGGGGGTCGGTGGGCTGATATGCGCAACACGTGGCCTATCCATCGGAGCCTAGAGCATGGAATGACGGTGCTGAGCGGTACAGTTCCTTTCCCTGTGTCCTAAACAAGGCGTCGGAAACGCTCGTTGCTCACGCGGTGTTCCCACCAGATGTGAGCCAAACTGCGAAGGCACCGGCGGTCAAACGTAACTAGCCTCTTCATGTCCGCTGATCTAAGGGACCAGGTTTCGCAACCGTACAGTAAGGTTGAACGTACCGCTGCATTGTACACACTACCCTTCAGCAAAAGCAATTCAAAATTTTACTGTACGGCTCGTGATCACTTCTTCGATCCCAAGAGCGCCGATACAACTTCCCACGTAGTTGCATTTCTGAATGACTTCTGGCTGATCCCCAACAAGAGTAAGCGCAGAAAGTGATCACTGCCAAACTTGGGGGAAAGCTTTGCACTTCGAGGGTGCAAAACAATGCCCGAAACGGGTGACAGCCAGTACTACTCTGTCCAGTGCAGCTTAGCACGTCTGGGAGCTGTCACAGATGAGGGCAATATCGTCAGCATACTCCAAGCCAAGAAGTCATTCACCTGGGAGCAGCTCTTAATCTTATAAGTCGTATCCAGTAAATTCAATCTCCATGACTTCATCAATATCGAAGTCGAAGAGGAAAGGTGACAGCGGGCATCCTAGTCTTACACCACTGAATATACTGAAGGGCGGTGACAGCTTGCCGTAAGCCCTCACTCTGCCCGAGCTACGCGCGTATAATGCTCGTACAATATCTATATATTTCCCGGGCACACCATTCCTGAGTAGACATTCCCAAAGCGCACATCGATCAACCGAATCAAAGGCACTTTTGATGTCGAGGAACACGAGAACGGTGGGCCGCCAATATGTGCGACGGTGGTGAAACAAGTGAAGATGTGGTCGATGTAACCACGACCCCGACGAAACCCGGCTTGTTCCTCAAAAATCCGGCTTTCACGAAGGCCAGTCAGTCTGTGAAGCATTACATAGACATGCAATTTGGAAGCGATGGGGATCAGGCTGATTCCTCTATGGTTGCCGCATTTCGAACGCGAGACTCCTTTACAGCTGGGAACAATAACGGAGCGGTTTCAGTGGGTTGGGACAGTCTCCTGCTCCTACACTTTCACCAATAATTCGTGTAAATCACCAGCAAGAACTGGGCCCCCGAATTTATGTGGGCTGGAGGAAGATCACCATGCCCCGCGGCTTTGTTCAACTTCAACAGTCCAATCTCACCTTCGACTTCTGAGCGAGAGAGTAGATCCAAAGGAACAGCCCACGAAGCAGGGCGATCACTGGTCAGTGAGGAATCGAACAATTCTAGCCGATTAAATTGCTTTTCAAAATGCTCAGCCCAAGGCTCCAAACATTTTGACACGCTGTGTATAGGTTGTCCATTCTCGTCATAAATCGTTTCACTAAAACCAGGTCTCCTGCTGTCCGTTTCCCGTATCAGACGGAATAACCCGATGGTTGCCAAGGGCAGCAGCCACTTCCATCTCTGACGCACTAAGACACCACCAGGATTCGCGGTCTCTCTTCCGGCTAGCACGGAGTTTTGCCCGGAGCTCTTTGCGAGTTTCATTGTGTTCGCTTCCAGCCAGAATATGCCGGCAGCATCGATAAGGTCCAGAGACCGCAAAGAGATCCAATGTTCATGTTGGTTATTAGACTTACCACATGAGGATTTGTCTGCTGCTAGTAAGGTCTGGTGAACATGCGACTAGTGACCTTCAATTGTCTCCAGTGAGCGCTTACTCAACTCGCATGTCAGCGTACATTGCTAGGCATTCGGAGCAGCTGGCTTCGTCAGTTATCTGGTGTCAATGCGGTCACAACGTCGTCGTGGGCGTCCACCAAAACGAATCCGTAAGTCAGCACACACAAGTGCATGGTCGGTATCCACATATATGCACCAAATTGAGCGACAGTTCTGGATGCAGCCTCTCCAGCGGTAACTGATTGCAATGTGATCGATTTGCGTCCAAGCTTGATTCGAGGCTGTTGGTCGCCAAGTTACCCTCCGGCGGGTGCTGTGTAGGAAGTTAGTGCTCGCAAGAAATAAGCGGGCATCTTCACATAAATGAAGTAGCCGCTCAGCGTTGTCATTACGGGAGCCTACACCATGTTGGCCGCCCAGATGCAGTTCATCAGGGGATAATTTTCCAACTTGAGCCTTCAGATCCCTAGACAACACAACAGTGTCCATGCTTCTTCTGTGGCGAAGGAGCTCGTTCACTTGGCGATAGAAGTCGTCTTTTACCGAAGCATCGCTAGAGTTTATGGGCGAATAGGCAGCGATGATGAATAGATATCTATTAGTCCCACGCGACTTCGAAGCTTTGAACGAGCCAGCCAATCGGACCGCACACATCCGGCTACTGATTGGAATCCAGTCAACCAGAGCAGTTTCAGCCCAGGGACTCAGGGCAATACCAACACCGGCATGGCCTGTGCTCGCAGCTGCGTCATCACCGGATAGGCGCAATGAGAAAGTGCTGCTGGTGTCACCTGAAGTGGGTCGCAAAGTGAGCACAGAGCTCGAGTCTTGTAGGCGGGTCTCCAATAAGCGGCATATATCGGTGGAGAGGGTCTCTAATGTTCGGACAAGTGCTGCCTCTTGACGGATTTCTAGCAATGTGCGTACATTGAAGCATGCCAATTTGAAGGAGGATCGAGGGCTCCAAATGGAAGTCGATGAACTGGAATGGACCGCTTGGTTGGACATGGGATTGTCGTCAGGGCAGGAGTGATGCTCTGCGTTTCCAAGCGAATTGAAATTAGAAGCTAAACGCATAGCAAAGCATGTTGGTGGTGGGACAAAAATTGGGGGTTGAGAACTAGGGGGATAAAAATGAACTTGGTAGGGGAAGATAAGGGTAAAAAGCTTAAGTAAAGTTAATAAGCAGACGGGGAGGCTGGAGCAGTAGCATCCAAACCCCTATACACCCTGCTCGATGTAGCAGATAGGGCACGGTTTATTGTCCTCTGCGACGGCCAGAGCATCAGGAAAATGTTTGAAGTAAAATTCATTGTAAGCCACAACTCTTCATCTGTATCCCAAGCTTCCCGAAGAAGCGCATTATGGGATATTCCTTACTAAAGCACTGATACACACATGGTTGTAGGCATCTGGTTTTGGAGTTGTCGATCATCTCGGCCTCCACAGCAGAACCACAGGACGCCTGCGCCTTTCGACGCATCATGGATGTCTTACGTCGCGCTACCAACAGCTTCATCCACACACCTCGTATCTAGTGCAAAACCAAACGGATAAGACTGGGAGGCATATAGATGGGGGCCATATTACATCAACGGAACCGGCCCGTACTCCTTCAACATATACAGCAGCAGCATTCCTGTCTATCTAATTTGGGAATCATGCGTACCAGACGTGCACAAACCGATGATTGTGCCGTAGTCCGCTCCACACTGGATGGAACTACGCTGAGCCTACCACAGCCACGAGGACCGTGCCACCATCTCCCCAAGCAGCAAACCTGTACTGTTGCGGTTTTTCGACATTCGCATCAAGCGCAGCCACACCGGGGATACATATAATACCAGACACAGATTATGAAATAAAGCAAACAGGCCAACTGGACAGTAAATGTGCGTCAGCATGATAGCGCAACACAAAATTAACAAGATATGTTTCAAGCCTGATCTAGTGCAAGAATTATCTTGGGAATTGCAAGTTTAATGCCGGGGATATCAAACAAGTAAAGCCGGAAATGAAAATGTTCGCTTGAAATAAACTTGGGATATACAAATTGTTAACAGAACTGTGCGAGTAATATAACGTGAATTCATTCAGATCTAGAGTAAAGCAGAACCAGAGTAAATATTACTCACACCTGCCCAACTGCGGAGAAAATGCATAATCAGTGCACCGACCTCAGCAGAAGAGACATTCATACACGCACAATTATTCCAATGTGTGCATGAATGCCTCTACTTCGTCGAAAGCAATCTCCGTGAATTTGTTATGTTGCTAAGTCGGAAGTTGTTCGATATCACGGTTTAATGCAGGATGTGTGAATGGATCATCATAGATGAATATGGTGCATAGCTTACCTGACCAGCAAGCATTTCGTAGAGCAGAACACCGAATGACCACCAGTCCACGGAAATTCCGTAAGGTTCGTGCTTGATAATCTAAAACCGCCAAGAATGTGCCTGTGAGTCGATCGACAGATGAAAGCCAAAGTAACTTCCATATAACTTTGTGCGCACTCATCCACAAGCTTACGTTACCCAACGGTGTAGTTCCGTGCACATGCGTGTGTGAGACTGTGCCTCTACGTACAATACGCATGAACATCGGCCCTTTTGCTAATGTAGTGTTTATTGTTCGGCCACAATGTAGAACCAACGTTGAACCCCGGTCCTCGTCTATGATCATACTCAACGGTCAAACTCTAGAATTAACTGCAAAAGTATACATCCCGACTAGGGCCATGAAGATTTACGATTGAGTGGGTCTCGGACCACTGTCTAAGTGCAGTTTCTTACGCCATCATATGTGAGAATACAAGATGTTTTCGGAGTGATGTGTTCTAAGTATTTTGATTACATTCATTTAAAACGCCAGTGGTGACAGACATCTCTGATCGATCAGGATGAGAACTCAACGAGATGGGTTCAGCAGCGACGGCGGATGGTTGATTATCACTACTCCGGAGGACCGCTCTCATCTACATCAACAACACCAGCAGCGAATCGGTAAGTTTGGTGGCACACTGTTGCCATACAGTCGCAAGACAGGTTATTCAGTAAGATAGCGAGAGTGAAACCGGAGGAAGTAGCGATGCGGTACAAAGATGCCACATTCAACGAACTCAAATATTTGGTGGACAACCTCAGACAAAGGCATTTCTCGCCGCCTTGATTGGAAACATCCACAAAACGCTTATGACGGCCGGGGGTAATTTGTGACCCTAACCTCACTCAAAAATTCAATATGCAGTAAAAGCTGAAAGCACTGCAGTGCAGATGGGAACAACGATCCATTTGGAACCAGTCTAAGCTCCGTCAATAAGCGCGTCACCTAGGTAAAATTGTGGAAATCATGCTTAACTTCAATAATAAATTTAGAAATAGATAAAGACGTTACTTCTCGACGACGCGAGACATTGTTCCCACCCACTAGGTTCAGACAAACATGAGTCGACGAGAGTTACGAGTACTCAGTGAATAATTACTTCTGAAATAAGTGGTGTACGTCGAATAAATGAGATGCATGCGCTGTACTAATACAGTGTCAATGAAATCCAGTCAGCACCCCAGCCTTCCGAGAGCGCAGTAATTGCACAATGGACACTAGTGCCGAGGAAATGCAGAGGATCACCGAGACCTTAAGAGCAAATGAGTATCCGGAAAAATTCATCCTCAAACATATGAAAGAACGTAAAATAAATTCATCCAAAATAGGGGTATCAAGAAAGAAATTATCGTGCAATAGACAAGCAAAAGCAATTACGCCGTTGATACCCTATACAAACAGTTGAATGAAACTATTGAGAAAGCTGGTTCGTGGTTGGTCCGCAGAAATTTTGAAGGACAGACTGCCTCCGTTGATTTGATTAGTACTTGTTTATCAGGACCTGTGCTCTTGTAGTGCGTACTACGTGGGTCGCACTAAAAGGAAAGTATCTCATAGGATTTATGAGCACATCCCTGGTGATTTTACAGAGGTAAAGTGAGTTCATATAAAATATTTTTCATGCCGTTCCTCTTCGAGTACAGCCAAAAGATATAAACCCGATTTAAGCGTCATCTGCTCCATTCCCGAGTGATTCTCGCTCGGGTTCCGGGAACATATCATATTTATTGCCAAAGCTATGTACATCCGACACTTCAGATGGTAGCTGTGTGTACAAAAGCATTTTCTATGCTTACTAAATCTATCCTGGCCTGCAACTGAAGTTACGCAATCAATTGTTGTTACCGTGACTATCATTCGCGTACTTTTGAAAGCGATGTTCTTGGGTACCATCCCCATATTTAATCTGCTGTCTGCAGTGACAATGTGTTTTATCAATTCGACCGCTGCATCAGGCATGATGGACAATATTCAGCCCATCACAAAACACTATGATGTAAACGCTCCATTATGTTAAGTGCTACCAAAAATACTGCTTCGCGCAGTACTTGCCTCTCTCGTTCATTCGTGCTATTAAACGGGAAGGGTAACTGTAACTCGTAACATGATGTAACCACCAGCGGAGCCAAGTCAATACAGGTCGTGCGTCACAGTTGATGTGTACGCTGATGTTTTCGATGAAGCTGTCTACAAAACAAGCCTACAGCATTAGACACATACCAAATCAGCAATTTTATCCATGATTAACATCCATCAGTTTGTACCTCAGAATGATGAGCACAAGCGTCGGGCCAAGAACTAAGGTGAATTTCATTTCCAAAATTCGCGCTGATATATACAAAAGATTGAGTTGCTCTCTGTTTGATTGAGTTCGCTAGACACCAGCTTTCATGGAATTTAGTGTGGGTCGTTGTATACTGTGTATCGGTTGAGGATTGTGCGATGTTTGAGTTGATCTATAGCCAGTTAGTATTCAAATAGCTGACTCATAATTAATCAACCTATCGATCACTGGCTGGCGATCGCCGAAAGCACCAACTTCAGTAGCAGTTTCTTAGACCGGTTCGAGTAAAGTTCACGAAACCGCTATCAGTCCATAGACCATCTGTTTGCAAGTGCATATACGAGAGCTATCAGAATGAGTGTTCAGACTAAGGACAAGAGGGTGGGTACATTCTTGTCCAGGACACAGGTGGCAGACAGTGGGTTCGAAAGAAACATATGAAAGCAAAATAGAATAAAATCAGGTTGCCCCTAGGAGCAAATCGTTTATCAATGCGGTTGCGTGGAGCTCACTTCGGGTGCGATGTAGTCTGGTGTGCCGCAAAAGGTGCGCGTTTTCGTCTCGCCTTGGATTCCTTGCTTACACATTCCAAAGTCAGCAAGTTTAATGTGACCATCGGAATCCAACAAAATGTTGTCCAACTTCAAGTCACTAAAAACAACAAAGTGAGCAAAAGACGTGAGAATGTTGTTTACAAAACTGCTGCAAGGGGATGACACATGAACCATTGTACTGTGAGCGGTGGGTGCGGAAAAAACAAACGCTTTATCGTGGGAGGTGTATATCACCGAATCAGCGTGGGGACTTATTATTTATGAGCTAATTCGTGGAAACAGCAGCGGACTTATTTGTTGAAACAGATCTTCGTTGTTTAGAATCCTAATCGGAAGGGACCTAATGCTCTTCACCGAGAGTGGCACGCACGCAAAGTAGCCAATTGAATTCGGATCAGTACGTCGTAAGGGACCAGGATGCCAGACGTTTTCTATGCGATGTGAGACTGGAGACAAAACACGTAACCTCGCATGACAGCACCAAGACCCAAAAATTAAGACTGGTCACTAGCAGGTGGTGATTTACTGACGCAAACAAAGGCAAATCATGTTATATACAGCTTTGTATTTATAGCTCAATACTAAAGAGGTGGGATACATAAAACAGAGGATATTGAGTGTTTGTAAGGCAGATGTGTTCGCAATCACTGGTACAGTTCTGAGTTAAACTAAGCTAAATTCAGTGCGGTTCGCGGCGATAGTTAAAATGATGTCCTGAGGAGAGTTCAATCGGGTAACTGCGACTTGAGATGGAGACGTCAATGGGGAGAACCTAAGGGAAATAGTGGCTCTTGGGTTAACTGTGTCCACTGCACAGTAGCAATGTTCATGGTAGTCTGAAATTTATAGCATCATTTGATGGTGCATAACTTAGTTGTATCAATTTCTACCATCACATACGACCTAACTGCTTGTGAGAATGCTTGAACTTAACAGTCTCGTGGGATCGAATTATGGGGCGCTGCGTGTGGTCGATGAGTAGAAATAGTGCAAGACTGCCAGGCAACGCACTTGTCGATGCATCCAGATGTCGTCTGGTGCGGAATAATTTGCTACGGATCCCTTTGAACCCTCAACTAACTTCGTCTACAATAGACTGAATTTCCAATGGTGAGGTTTGAGAGTAAACAGAACACTGTTCTCAAACTCCCCTGTTGAAGTTTGACACCCAAATCCGTGATAAGCCCCACAGTTCTGAGCTTTGTGCCCGTTTACCATCCAACTGTTGTTCGGTCCCGTAGAAAATTTTTGTACAGGTGTTCTCAGTGTTGCGAAAGTATTTCTGAACACCGTATCAGAGTGACGTGTTCACCAGAATATCTAACAAAGTAGTGGACAAAAAATAATTCACCTGCTGATTATACATTTGATATTAGCGAACCTCGGAAATCAAATTACTCAAGTAGACGCTAGAGGTGGCGACGCTAGGTGTTCAGCATTCTGGAAAGCTGGTCGCAATAGGCGACGTTCGAACACAACTAGATGCAACGGCTCGTGGAATAATAAATTAACCCCTTGCACTAGTACTCGATTTACTAACAACCAAAAGTTTTGAAACTGTAGAAATGCCAAAGCTTAGAAAAAGGTTGGAGATTCACACTGTCTGCAACCCAGACACCGGTTAATCTTCCCATTGGTTAATTTCGTGGCTTTACGCAGTTCATTTAGAATTATTCTCCAAAGTGGACAACTTGCTGCTTACTTCAAACCGTTATTCCCTCTGGACAGCTCGTCTCAAACAATTCAATTTGGAAGAATGAATTAATTTGATTGGGACTAATCCATCGGTGTCATCTGCAACTTTTTCCTGAGGAAGCTGTTAACTGTAAAACTTAGTGGCCAGGTTGAATGGAACATGACTGTTTCCATGAATATTTGGAAATTTTAAGAAATTATTGAGCTATATATGTAAGCGGGCAAGCATTCTGTCCAGAAGTCATATATATATATATATATATATAATCGCTGTAAATTATGATGGAAGGAATAAACCGCATAGCTAAGCAACAGCGTAGCGATTGGTAAGTGCTCTGCTTCCGATTCTATCTACTAACATGGGCGATTAATCTGGTAGATGCCGCATGTGTGCCATAGTCGCTCTGTACGTGCGTCTACGTGTTGAATTTCTTTTCATTTTAGGTGTTAACCATTAATTGATAACCTCAGGGTGGTTGCTCTTGAGATGATTAATGACAAGGTACCTAATATCTTGGAACATATTTGGAACCGATCGGGAAGTCATCATTTCAGAAAACTTGGTAAACGACCGGTTAATGTATTTATGATGATGTATCATGATGTATCATCATAAATACATTAACCGGTCGTTTACCAAGTTTTCTGAAATGACAAGGTACCTACCTGTCTAACACCGTCCACCTCGATTACCGGCTTCAGCAGACTCAATCGTTGCTGTAGACGGGGTGCATGGTCCCTGTAGCTGTGCTAGGCTTATGGAGTGGTTCCATCCAGTGTGAAGCAGACTACGACCCAGCCACCGCCTTGTGTACGTTTGATGCGCATGATTCCCAAAATAGATAGATAGAAATGCTGCTGGTATACACGTTAAAGGAGTTTGGGCTTGCTCTGTTGATGAAATCGGGCTCGCATCCACATACCCCCGGTCTTACTCGTTCGGGTTTACACTGAATATAGGCGTGTGCATGGAGCTGTTGGTGGTACAGCGCAGGCTACCCATGGTCGCTAAGTAGGTGGAAGCGTTCTGTGGTTTTGGCTAGAGAGGCTGTACTAACATAATCGGATGCTGCCGACCATATATTCTTTTTCAACACGTGGTTAATAACAATTGGCAGACTGCCACAACACATGGGTAACAACAAGGAAGAGGGGAGGAAATGCGGCCCCGTTGATTCATGTTCATCCCCTTTGTGTGCCCAGAGAGCTTGTTTAGATCAATTCGAGCGCAGAGAGATTCCCGTTTCCCCAGGCCGAAGGAGAGGGTTAACTTAGGGGACTGCACCAGGAGCGTTTGGTCGTAAAGTGATCACCCGCAAGGAGGCGGGACAATTAACGTATATCGTAAATCATCGGAAGCCCGTGACACGAATTTTTTTACAATTTACTCAAGACACGCGAACAGCCTGAGTACAGAAGCCCGGAAGTAAGGAAACCCTTCTTGGGATGTCCAACCAGCCTCTGAATTCTATGATCATCGACCATTAGGTGGCTATTTCGCCTTCCTAGTATTTAGTATCAGTCCACACAGAAGCTGATGGTTAACAAGTTTGTTCATCCGCCCTCCGTTAGGTGCTCACCTCTGGTTACAAAAGCGAGTGACTACTGATCCAGCTAGCTGTGAAAATGGTATGTGTATGAAGGTAGTCGTAGGCAGATAAAATGCGTAGAATAAACAGTGCCGCAAAACCTTCGGTTAACTACCAGCAATCCAAATTACCATAGATGTGAAGCAGCCATCAGGAGTTTTCAGCCATAGATTTCAAAGCAACTTCACAACCGACGACCTCATCCTCATCTAACCACCTTACTGGGTTACGCAATGTAAATGCCACAAAAACAAAGCGCGCCTAAGAGTAGGAGTCCGGAAAGTGTTAACTGTATGAATCCTGTCTAATCGATAGAAAAAGTGTCCTTTTACCGGCTACGATGAAAATGAATGATGAACACAATTTAAGTGCAGCGACGTCTCTTTCGAAACCCTTTGGGGGACGACTGATCATCCATTACTTGTGAGTAGGGAGAGTTTTGGTTAACAATTTACCGATTCGTGCCAGTAGACCATAAGTTAATTAGTCTTACCGCTGATCCAGTAAATCAGCAATCAACAGCTTTTGACACAGAGTTATCGCGGTCAAAATCTGACCATTATAAGACTCAACTGAATCCAGGCGAAACAAAACAGTGATATTCCTCCCACGACTGTGACCAAAGGGAACATGAAAGAAATGATATGACGGGTGAATAAAGAATCTACATTGAATGGAACCTTGGCGGAATTCAGCACTGAGGTTGAATCTAATGCACACATATACCTGGTACAAAAGGAGCCAAACTTCTGAAATCGTGTGCCAATCGACAGAGAGAACGCGATGTGGCTACTTGCAGTATGTAAGGGATCATTTTAAAAACAATTTGCCTTTTGACGCATTTCACTCTGACCGTTGGTTGGAGCGTCCTCAGTTGTCGCAAGGCGCTCACCCTACTGATTGTCGTGCCATTTCAGAAGTTGGGCTTCTTTTTGAATACAGCCGTATACATCGTGGTGCCGATTATCATAGTTTCACTGTAAGCTTGATTCACCCTACGATTTGTTGCTTTACATAGTGACAACACAAATGAAATCACCTGAAGCAAGCCAGTATTCAATGGGCAATAGCTGTATCGGCATCATAACTTAGAGGGCCATGCTGTCTTGTGATAGGTTCAGTTGGCTCTATCTGGTGAGTTCAAAAAAGTACTAAATTACTCATGGAGGGCGGTCTTGGAAGCTGGCAAGACTCAACAGTGTTGTTTTACAAATGCTCGTAGTGGCCGAAGTGATCAGTTTGCACTTTAAAATAAATCACGGTCTAGAGAAAGCATGTTATTAAAGAGCCCCAGTGGGGAGAAATGCTCCGCTGATGCTTTTCCGGATTGCTGTTAAGCTTATGCGGTCTATGAGGCGCTGAGTGGAATCACTGAACTAATTCGGCTCGTATTGCAGCTTTCTATGGTCAGCATACCAGTGATGAAATCTCCCCAGTTTTTGACATTTATCCAAGACATATCCACCTTCCGTAGTAGGTAGGCTCCAAATAAGAGAAGTGCAAAAGTTATAAGAAGCAAAAGCGCTTACTGCAGGCTTAACGTGGTATTGGTAAAAGTAAACAATAATCGACCCAAAAATAGAAGTTACTTATTATTGGTGGTATTAATTTGATCAGCAATTTAATAAGCATTAAAGCAAACACAAGACGGTAGATCCGCAGTAAGGCGAAGCATACGAGTTCAGTAAAATTCCACAACGAAGCACTTTCTTGTTTAGAGAGACGAGAGGATAGTCAATGTTGGCGCATTTCAACTGGGAATAACAATGATGGCGTGTGGTCATGTACGGGTTTGGCTGTCCATCCTTTGTACTAACAAGCATGAATCAGATTTGCCCGAGTACCAGTACAGAGCATAGAGAACTACTTCAGAAACATCTGGTTGATTAAAACAGGCACTAGCCTCTCGACTGGAGTTACTAATAGACGGTCCCGGCTAACCAGAAGAACAGAAAACTACACAGCCGTAGTTGAAGTTAAACGTTTCTGTCGACAATCATGACACACATTCAATTATTTACTTCCGGTCATTTACCCACTTCAAACGGGCATTCTCTCTGGGGACAGCGCATAGTATACCTTAATCGAAAGGCACATCACCCACTGCACATCATAAGTGTACCCCATTTTCCAGATGCCAGCGAAATAAGACCTACTCCAAAATTCAGCAAACACTGTAGGCTGGAGAATCTAAAAAAGGCGATCGGGGTAATGAGCGATGTACTTCTGCCGTGCCGAACTGTTTCACCCAATGTGCTGTGACTTGATTGTTGAGAAGCCCTTCACACGCAAGTGCCAGAGTGAAGCTGGTGCTTTCTTGACTCCGCACACATACACACAATCGAATACCCTAGACAGTCACGCAACAAGTCTACCCACTCCAGAGGTAAGATGTGGAAGTGTTCCGTTTGCTAAACTGGCGGAGGCTGGTAGGTGAATCCTGTGAGATCGGGGAATCGTAACTTTTGTCAGACCCAGTATCGATTTAGGAGCTCTGTGCCTAGTATTCAACACCGCACAAATAGAGATGCTTATGGCCTACCTGTATAGCACGCGGAAATCTACCGCCTAAACAACAAACATTATCCACGAACGCTTCCGCAAACAAAACTTGCAAGGATGAACTAATTCGAAAAAGTAAAATTCACTCACCGATATACGATCCCGTGTTGATGAAGGAAGTGTAGTGCGACCGCTACTTCGGCCGAATAGAAGCTGAAAAAAGACCGGTCATCTTAAGGCGCGGGGTTGAAAAGCGGCAGAAAATACACACGTATATTCGACAAGCGACGTGAATGATTACTTACACAACAACTGGTTCTTTAAATCGCCCCTCCTGTTGTATCCGGTACATGAGATCTCCACCGCTGACATATTCCATGACTAGATAGAGGCGATCCTGTGGAATGCAAACCATGTTTTAAAACTTATACGCATGAAAGTAACAGTTCATGTCAGGTCCGATCTTTATGGGTGAAACAGGTCTTCGCCTAACAAGCGTACCGTTTAGTGTGCCGGTAAACAAGCAAAGGCCCAGGCACTTAGATGTTCATGCTTCACTTCTGCAGAGACAAAAAAATAATACGAGGAACGGCTCATAACTTCATGAAACTATTCTCGACATCCTGTTGGTACCAATTGAAATCCGCTAATCTTAGTGAAAATTGGGAAACAGTGTGAACTAATTCATTTCTAGACCACTTTTAAAGGTTTTTATAATATTACATTCCATTAGTTCAAGAAGAAGTAAATTCCTACTACGTAATACGCGGATGGTAAAAAGTTTTTCCTGGACGTCCAGTCTGGACTTATGCGTCTTGAGGTACAGATGGCGTCCCCGCAGGTGGTCCGACGTAGCTAGCCCAAAGACGGAGATCAGCATGCTTAATGCCACTGAGACCCTTCATAAGCTTAAACGTTTCTACCAAGTCTCACCTTGGTCTATGTCGTTCTAATAGAAAAAACCTAAACAACCCAGGCTATCAACATATGACTTTTACGCTTGCCTTGAATCATTCTGGTGGTTAATCATGTTACCTGCTGTAAGCAAGCGACATCCTTTCGAAAGTAAGGTGTCCAAGCTTGAACACAATACGCGAAGTGCGGCCGAACCACCGCTTTGTACAATGGAAGAAAGACCTCAAGTTTAGTATAACACAACGCTCTCCTAAAGCGCAAAAGTTCCTGCCGTGCTATGTTAGCAGCATATTGGCACTGCGCCGTAGGCCTGAAGCTATCTACCATAACGCTGTTTCGACTTATCTATACACTGCAATGTCAGGGACCCTGTAGATGTTTGTACCGTAATCCCAACGTTGCTGGTTTATAAGAGCTAACATTTTGTTCACATTCAATGGCAACTCCCAGGATTCAGACTAATTTGCCACAGTGCCCAAGTCTTTAGACAACGTATCCCTATCTCCCCTATTGACAAGCTTTTCATCGTCCGCCAAATGTAGCAGTAGTTTTTAGGAGTGGAGCTAAATCATTTAGAAACAACAAACAACAACAACGTTCCTAAAACTTAACCCTGAGAGACATCGCTATGGGCTGTGTACATGCTAGATCTGGCTTCACCAATTTTGATACAGAACTTTCTGCCACAGTGGAAATCCGACGACCAAGTTATCAGTTATGGATGCAACCCAAACCAAGTCAGCTTCTCTAGTAAAAAGCGATGACCAACCGATTCAAATAGGTTGAGGTTTTGAACGCTGTCCCTCAGTACCAGTTTAATAAATGATTTCTTGGAAAGAGTTAATATTGATTCGTATTCTGACCCAGCCGGTAACCGGTGTTCATGTGCAGAATTTCCAGCGCTTGTCTGAGCAGTCCGTAACGCAAACAGTGCACAATATGTGATCGGTCCAACGTGCACATACCAGTGGCACATTTAGGCTCCAGGTTAGTATTGCCTCTAATCAAACAATAAACAGCATGAACATGATAATAATAATAATAATAATAATAATAATAATAATGGCAATAGCAACGCGCCTATTTCTCATCAAGTGAAAATCCGTGACTATATTTGACACAGAACATACACACACAGATGATGTCATGCTCTTGCAAGAGCAATATCAAGTTAACTTCTTAAATTTGTCTGCATTCCTGGCAAGGTATTTGCCCTATATTTTTGTCTTAGGCAATTGTAGGAGGCAAAGTTGCAGTTTGAGTATTTTGAAGACACTGAGGACTAATTATATTGCGTAAAGTGGTGGTCTAACACCCATTAGACGTTATTAGGCTTTGATTGAATGATGCTCAAATAAACTTCCGCAAGAAAAGAACGACATAATGGTGTCCAGGTAGAGGTAGCTACCCAACATACTCCGAAAGAATTGCACAGTCTCACACGACCTGATGGTGAATGGCAACCGAAATCACAGAGAAGCATATATGGTGAGACGAAATTGTAACCGCAAATTTGTCCAGAACCGTTGACGTCTGATATGTAGTTCAGGTAATGCAGCTACCAGAATGTGTACCATCGGTAGTTAAGGAAACCATTTTAGGACCTGTCTATCAGCGCTAGTGACTTGATGAAATTACTCACACATATTTGCCAATTTCAAAAATAATCCGGCTATTAGTGGAGTCTTATGGTTTGGCCTGTAATTTTCAATCTCCTGCTTTGCGCAGCCCTTGTGGCAATGGCTGCCAAATCAAGTTTTCATTGATCTGCAAAGTACTTGGGTCCCAGTGAAACGACAAACATATACAGAAGGAGCAGTAACATGTCAGGCCCTCCCAGTTTCATGGCGGATGGGGGGATACCATCAGCATCCAGCATTGAGCACGGGTAAACAGAATGTGTTGCTTTGTGAATATTTAGGAGAGCGATAGCAGTTTAGATGGAGCATTAGTGTAAGTATAACGTTAGTGTCAAGGATCATGTAGGTGGAGAAGGACGAGCCAAATGCTCCACAGATGACGCCTGGATGTCGTCCACCAGTTCATTGATCAATGAAAAGCGTTTGTTGGTTATTTGACGGTGAATTCTGACCAGTACTTTTGCTTCACATGTCATTCGTAGGGTTGCTTGATCTACATCTGTTCTCCCTATCAATTGTAAGTGCTTGCTTTCAGAGAGAGTCGGTGCATCTGTGGCATCATTTTAAAATATCCTACACAATTTTAGTGCGCGATCGGTTTGCTGGATTTCTGAATAACCAAACGTTCAGCTGTATCTCTCTTTCTTTAGCGGCAAAGAGGATTGTGGTTTGCTGAACCTAATGATAGAAGTGCTCCACGGATGTGCATGTATTGTTGGAAAGAAAGAAGGCATCCCAATCGCAAGACTGGATTGTTTGACGGAAGAGTTCCCATTTAATATTGCGGCTAGTGTAGTAGGAAGTAGATACTCGTTTGATAGCCTTATAAACGGTGAACGTTAAGAGTATCATGTTGCCATCGCTACCAGGGATGTTCTCTGAAACCTCCCTCCGTAATTTGATGAATTTGACGCATTGCGGATAGATGCAAGTACACCGAGGCAGCTGAGACGGAGAAGCAGAGAGAATCAGGGACATTTGCCAGTGGTGATGTTCAAACAGTTTAGCTGTACATGTGTGATTGAGTTACATGGAGCAATAGGATTACAGTCCAATGTATCAGCGAAGTGCCATGTTTCGGTAACGAGAATTGCTTGCAGCTCCTTTAAATGTGCAAGCATGCTTAGGAAATACCGTTTGTTGAAAATCCATCTGGCGTTAATCAAAAGTAATGAAAATATACCATAAACGATGGAATCAGTGTTCGCGTCACTGTTATGTGAGTCATTGCAATCGCGGATTATTTGAGCGGTAAATATGTGTAGGAGCATTGGGAACGAGTCCATTGCTAATAGTCTTATGGGTAGGGGTAATGTGCCGTCCACGATCGCCGGTATATCTTGTGAAGGGAGGGGGTTGATGTATCAAGAATACTTTGCGGTTGACTTGGCGCTGAGCTTAGCTGGTCATGTGAAGAAATCGCAGAAAATACGCGTGCATATATTTGGCATCTACTGCGTAGGTAGGCGGTTGGAATGGCCGCGGTTCCATTCACACATACATATATATATATTTTTGTATATATATAATACGCTTTCTACTGCATGACCTCTTGGCAAAACTCCATGATGTCAGCCAAACCAGCGCGTTCCAGCATCTTGTCCTGTAATATCCCTGTGTCCGTTTACATGAAATGTGAAGCCGAAGACATGAAAAATGTGCTCCGATAAGGCCGCTGATCATATACTCCACGTGCCTGCTCATTTCCGTCGCATTTCGGATGGGCTGAAGCAAAGAAGTATCAAAGGGACTTCTCACACACTACAGGTGTCGTGTGCTCCTTCAGTGCAAGGACGCCGTGGCTGCGACGGAAGTTTTTGAAAGTCGTGATGTATTGCTAAAATTATTACCGTAGTGATAAACCAGACTACCGTTCAAAAGAGAAGTCTGGCAGAGCCGAACCCAGTTGTCCCCTAATGGAATACAAAAAACTACACATGCATTGGAAGCAGGTACTCCAGGCCGATGACCCACACCAGTCTGGAAGTCACAAGCGGCTCACAAAATGGGACCATTTAATGATCGTGCATGCAGATGGAACCTTTCTATTACATACAGGGACTCGACTGTTAGCATCAAGGCTCCGTCAATCGCATCACTCTACAACGAAACTCATCACTTTGCTACAAGTGCTGCCGTATTTCTAAATGCCACAACATCGCCGAAGCCAGCAGGGCAGGGCCAAGAAATAGTGGCGGTGCACGAAGTTCACTCGGGTAATTCAGGTAAATACGGAAACCAGCCAAACGCTGTTCTCTCATTTATCGAAGTCCCTGCAGCTTGTCGTGAATAATTTCCAACGCCATCCGCGCACGTTAAAACTGATATAGACAAATATTACAGGCAGCCAAGCAAGCAGCCATTTCTCAAGTAGTGACATACATTGCTTCCGAGGTGCAAGCTTCGCCGATACTTGTTGTCATTAGAAAGCCGTGGGATCCCGAAGCGTCGTTGGATGATGACATTGACTCCACAACGCATGCCTAAAATGCATTTACAGTGCTTGCAACAGCACAGCACGCAAGCAGGGCCTATGGTGTAACGCAAGTGCTTGGCATGTCAAGGGTGGATTTAAACAGGAACCCACCAGCTCAGCAACGTACTACCTACCAGTTTAATCTCTTGAATGGCACCGTTATGAACACTTTTTCTTAAGGACTTCGGACACTCGTTCGTTCCCGGTTTTCGCGCTTCTGTTTGAGTGCTCTGCTAGGAACGTCTCTGAACGTCCACTTTCGCGTATTTTAGAGGAGACGTGTTGCAACACTCATGTAATCGCTTCCTCTGAGCATAGCTGGCTAGTTATGGCAGAGATGGTACGAACTGGATTTGGTTTTTAATT